GGTACTCGCTCAGTCCCGCGAACCAAGTTTGGTACTCCCGAAGCTCCTTGCGCCAACCCAAGCCTTGGTGTACTGATTACGTCATCTTCCGCCCTCGGCCCGACTCGGCTCAGCTCGCTTAGTCATCGCTTTGCCTCGCATTGCCTCGGGTATGCTGCAATACAAGAATCTAGCATTCCCGAACCTGCTCGCGCAAACCCGAGTCGTCCCGACCCGATCGGGTCCCGATTACGTCATCGCCCGATCTCGCTTCGCCTCGCCTTGCGTCGCCTTTGCTTCGCTTCACCTTGTGTCGCCTCATGCATGCTCCATTACGCATAGGCACCCATGCGAACACCGTTCCAAACCTTTGGCCTCCTGACGTTCATTACCAGTACCTCGGATCCATTCAGTCCGACTTCCCACGGTACCACTCAACCCTGGTACTTCTATGCATCACTCTCATCTATGTCAATATCCATATCCGACACTCTCGCACAACTCAGCTTCGCCTGGTGTTCCGATCCTCCGGTCCGAGTTTCCCGAACATCGCTCGCCAATGCTCGCCTCGTGTGTCCTTCATGCTTATCACTCTTCTCACTCTATCCATCCATCTCTCCATATGCTCTGCTACTTCTCCTCTATATATCCCCGACCTCATGTCTTATCTCTCCTTCATCCATCTATCTCTTTATCTATTCACACGCTCTCTTCTTTCCTTTCTAGTCACTTACCTTGTTCTTCACGCTCACTTGATACATTCCTCCACATGGTGTACTTGCCTCATGGCTTGCCTCATTGCATCCTCATTGCATCCTCATGTACTTATTCCCACCTGTACTAATTACCCGACTCTAGTATTTAAACCTCTACTTTACATCTTGTACACTATCCTGAAAATAAATGTTATTCCATGGTTCTCTGCATGGTCTGATGTCACTTCTGTCTTGTGCGCTATGACCTTGCCTTGGTCCTCTCTCTATCTCCTCGCTCCAACTTCCTGTCGCTCATCTCGGGAACTTCCCGAGCTCGGATCTCGGCCCTTTGCTCGGTCATCGCCAACAACTCCAACACACACCTGAGTTGTTCTCTCCTGCTTTGGATACGCCTCTAGTCTCCTCTCGGCTCGTTATCACCATCACCCCGATCCGACTCGGGTTGATCCCGATCGTTCCGATCTCCCCGATCCGACTCAGGTCGACACCATTCCCATCGATCTCTCTCGGGCCTATGCTGGACGACTACTCACTAAATATCGGTTATACTCTTGTGTCGCCGATCTTGGCTATCCTGTCCTCTCGCCTCCCCTGAGTGATCTCCTCGGGCTCGGCTTAGGACACTCCCCTTCTCGCAGCCAGAGGCTAGTCAGTCGGTCACCCTTACTGAGCTGTGGTGCTCCGAGAATGGCTGATCTTCGACATCTGATCACCCGCCGGTTCATGGCTCGACTCCGTTCTGGCATTCCGATTGGATATTCCTTCCCTCGTGGCTCAGTACATAACACATCCCAGGGATACCTGGGGAGCTCGCCACCAAACGAGATGGACAAACACCCGTCCAGCGGAGATACCTCTTCCATAAATTTCCGCTGGACAGCGGGGGAGCTAGCGGTTCGGTACTCGTGCACACATCCTTCGGTGTGGGGACGCGGTGTGCGCGGCGTAATGGGCCGTGCAGCGACAACGCTAGGGGATTCGCCCTGGATGCCAGATGTACTATTGCACAACACGACCATGGCCTTAGCGCCGTTTGCGAACGCTCACGACCAGCGCACGTTCATACAAGTCGGGACGCAACTCTTCTCAGTAGAAGGGCTGTATGAGCACATCCTGCAGCTTGGCGAGTATCCACTTGCCAAGCTGCCAATTGCGCACTACCCCTATCCTACGGAGAACGTCACAATTTTTCTGGTCGCAGCATGGTACGCGCAGTATGGCCTAGTGCCGGGCTCGAGGGACGTCGTGTACCTCGAGGAGTACGCACGTGCCCGCCGTAACGCTACAGCAGGGAACGCCAACCTCACCAACAACGATTGGACCAATGAGGAGGTAAACGCGTCCGCCTTACAGTTAACGGCGGCGCAAATACCCCACTGGAGCGCACTGCAGCACACGTCCAGCAACGACAGCGTTGCTGGGATCGGGGTGTCGATACACGCCCAACCTATGGACGTGGTGGACAAAGTGCACGCAGCGCCGGGGCCGGACGCAGGATCGGGTGCGCCGAAGTCGGACGATCACGCATCGGGACCAGGCAGCGAGTAGAACGCGTCGAAATATTTATCCTGTTGCATACTCACAATGCCTGGCGTTGTATTCACTGTCTTTACGATGAACGTTTCATATTCACACAACTTGTCATTGTGGGCACTGTCATTATGCTACTAGCACTAGGGTACTAGTGAAATACACTCTCTGAATCTGTTTCCACTAGGGTGAATACTGAAGGCCACGACGGGGATCGTGGACGGCACTTATTTTCGGACCGATGAGCAGGTCCTGTGGGGGGGGTGTTAGGTGCTGGGGCGCCTGCCGGCCCCGATTAGGCCCGAGTAACCGGTTACGGGCAACCGGCCCCTGCGGCCATCAGTAGTCACATGATGTACTATATACACATGGGCGGCGGCGTGATGGGTAGGTATCTTTTACACACCCATCGACTACGCCGACCCTCTGTTCAATAGAGAACTTGGTACAGCTTAGTTTGGGTGAACCAGTAAGAGACCTTACCACACAAACTACTTACATTCTGATTCTGATGCAGCCTCTGTCATCTCACATACTTCTCATGCATCTTCCAATGCAGAGGATATTGATCAATATAACGACTTCACTCAGCAACTGCACTCTGGGATGCCTGCACTATATCAACTCGAAATACTTACCCAGGACTTCGGACTGTGGCGGTCAAAGTGGGGGAAGTTTACCTCAGTGGCAAAATCTGGAATATTCTCATAAACTTTTGGACCATCTATCTATTCATCGTAATTGCGGTGCTGGTGTAATTGTGCCGCTTATTTACACGCATTTACTTACAGCTTCTGTGACCCTTGGTCACAGTCACCACTCTTCTTGATCCTGTACCACCACCACCTCATCTGTATTCTGTACTCTCTCCATCAAATCCACTCCCCCCACAAAAGGGACTTATTGTTATCTTGGCTCCCTTCTCTTTTCTCTCTGTCTGTCTTCTTGAGGAGCCTGGTGAGTGGGCTTCCATTTTTTTAAACAATATCCTTCCTTCCACTCTCTTCCATCTTTCCCTGCGCGAAGCTCGCCACTGAGCCCATGCAACTCCCCGCCACCTTTTTCTTCACCCCCACTGTCCCGAGTCGACACGAGGACTTTGCTGTTCTCGCTGTCGCTCACCACCGGTCCACACGCGTGCAAAACTACATAGTTCCACGTGACCCGGACGAACGTGTACGCACGTTCTACCTCACACACACCCACCGCTGTGATGCGGACTGCGGTTCTGTGAACTGCCTGACCCGGGGTGGGTATAGTCAAGTAGTGTTTACAGAATTTAATTCGTCCTCTAGGGGGAAATTGCTCTTTCGCGGAGCTGCGTAGTTTTAAGGTACGCTAATGCGCGATATATAATTTGTGGTGCGTGTGTGTGTACAGTTCTCTCCGTTTGGATTGAACGCTTTGCCAGGTTCCTTGAAGATTTAGTTCTTCGTTGGGGGCTGGCCTTCCGAAGGTACCGCGGATGGATAGTTTTCTACACTTGCTCGAAGGGTACGCTCTGCAATGCGAATGCTGTTCCGTTCCGGAGTACTCGGGTTATCTGTTATGCTTTATCCACCCGTCTCGAACGTATCGGACGGCAGGTCTCTTCAGTACGGTGCAACACTATACGGATGGCTATAGCGATTCCCTTCGTAGCCTAGTTTCTCCGTTGGTGAACGCCTTGAAACGGAATCACTTCCGTTTCGAAGACTCGGGGGTGAAGTGTGCAAATTGAATGGGGGAAATGGTATGATCGCGTAGGATAGGCCTTCCGTGTACGATGGGGTGGGTTCCTCGCAAGGATATGCGCTCGAACTCCGAAAAGGAACGGTTGCACGAAGCCAAGTTAGGCGACTGGCCGTTTGGTGGTGTGCCGCGTTAATCTACTTCCGCGCGCTTTCAACTCCGGATTGACTATATTTCCCCCGTATCGATTTATCGAAACGGAGGTGAGACGGACGGGGTTTCTTAACAAGCCCTGGCCTTCTAGGTGACCTTGGTTTGTCCTACTATTGGGCGGCACGACCCGTAGCGGAGTGTATTTTAATTTAGTTCCCCACCCTGGTGTACTTCAGGGGGAGTAGCTTTAGGTAAATGCAGTGGGAGGTAATAAGATATTCATTCCGTATCTTACAGCTGGCTTTTATACTGTACTCTGTCCGATACTCGCGCGCGTATTTATCCCTTTAATTGGAAACGGACGTTCCACCTTTTCAGTTCTGACTCGCCTCTGTGATCGCCCACGCGTTCCCGATTCCGAAGGGGTTAGAAATTGACTCGGAGCAGCCTCGTGTCGCATCCGTTTCCCGTTTCAGCCACCCCGATTCCCAAGAACCGCCTCAGTTCTCCGTTTTAGTCGCCCCGTTTCCCATAGCGCAACCACTTCGTCTCCGTTTGCCCCCCCATTTCCTTCCCTAGTACCGGCCAGGTGGCGGAACGGCAACGCATGCGAGACAAATAAGAGAGCCTGTAACGTTTCCTCGCAAGGTCTCCGTTCGATTCGGGGTCTGGCCTTGATAAACCATCAAGAAACTTTTGCCTCCGTTTCGTTTTTGAGTGAATGCGCGTCGAGTTTTAGAGTGAACGCATTGAACGGCCAGATAGCTCTATCAATATTTTCCTGCTTGCTTGTGGGTTTCCTATTGATTCGGAGTCTGATGTTCGGCCAGGTGGCGGAATGGTAACGTGCGCGAGACGAATACACAGACTCCCATAACGTTTCGGGATTCGGGGTCTGGCCTTGCTTGACGCAGAGGATCCTTTTTGCTTGTGGTCTCGGTGAGTACTCGCGGTCAGATAGTGTAACGGTAACACGCTTGGACTCGATACATTGGGATGGAGTGATTCTTCCAAGTGATTCTTCCAAGAGAACCTCTGTTCGATTCGGGGTCTGGCCCTGGTGGTGGTGTATCCGATGCTTTTTATTGATACGGAGTCGCTGTCGTGAGTATGATTTTCCTCCCGATTTGGCCGCGTTCAGAGCGCATCACAAAGTGACAGCTCACACCGCCCCCAAGGTCCTTCGTGACCCTCCCCTGCTTCCCACCGCACTGCACCGTACTCAAACGAGTCTCGTCCACAGAGCTCGCTACCCTTGCCAAACTGGCTAGTCGACAACCGTCGATCCCGCACTCTCTTCAAACCCACGGTCAATCCAAAGCCGTGGAAACCCCTTCCTCACCCCTCATACCTCTCTCTCCTAAACCCAAGTCCGCGCCGTCGTTCACACCACCAACATCGCCTTCCCCACCGCCGCCACCGCACCTCGACTCCGAATCGGACTCCGACTCCACCGACTCCACCCCATCACCCTTCCGTCGCACCATGCCCGGCAACCTCGCCGTTCTCAAGTCCTCCGTGACGAAACCTCCTGTTCTGCACAAGGGCAAGATCATGCAGGTGATTCTTCGTCAGTTCGAGATCACCTTTAAGAACTACGTGTCCTACAAGTCCCTCGAGCGCGCGCAGCAAGCTTCTATTCTCGTGGGCTGTTTCCGAGACTACTGCATCACCGACTGGCTCAAGATCGACAACGAGCGCGACACCGCCCTCCTCATGATTGCCAAGGAGATTATGGCGAAGGTCCATTCCCTCGTCCTCTCCCTGTCGTGGGAACACAACCTCTGTATCGTCATGAACCAGCACAAGCAAAGCAAGGCTGAGCCCTTTGCCGAGTTCGCCACCACCGTACGTTCCACCAACTCCCTCCTTATCAACACCGAGTCCCACGTTGACGACGAACACGTTTGTACCCTCCTCGAGGCGGGCATGCTCCCCGACCTCCAGGAGGACTACGAGGACGACCCTGACACCAAGAATGAGAAGAAGTTCCTTCTTTGGCTCGTTGAGGCCAAGCGCGTTGACACCAAACACATCCGCGCAAACAGTTGCCTACACGTCATTGCCGACAAGCAGCGCAAGGCCGCCGACGCCGTTGCTGCTGCCAACAACAAACGTTCCACCGCTAACGACAACAATGACTGTCCCTCCAAGAAAAATCGCAACGAGAACACCGCGCCACTCTCCTCCTCTTCCACTTCCAGCGCCGACTCCAAACGCTGCCCCAAATTGACGGCGGAGGAGTCCCAGCTGCTGCAAGTGTCACGTCCCCTTCGTCGTTCACGCGACTGAGGCGGTCAAGACGTGTCCCTTCCCTGCTGCCGTCGGGTGCAAGCCCATCACGCCTGCCGCCGCTGCGCTCACCGCCGACGACCGCAAGGCCTTTGGGCTCGCCGCTGCCAAGACCCCCGCTGTCGCCGCCGCCAAGACCCTCGCTGTCGCCGCTGTCAAGAACGTTGCCGCCGTTGTCATGTTTCCAAAGTGTTTGGCGACAAGTCGGTGGAACCAGTGCAACATCAGATGCTTGAAGAATAAGGTTAAACCTACCAAACATAGGATAGGACGCTCACACACCGGAACTCGAACCAACCTCACCAACCTATGCGAGCAGGGCTGTGTGCCCATAACAAAAGCTCGACACAGCATCAACTCGGCTGTACGTATAGCCTACAACTGCCTCATACAGGCTGTACGCATAGCCCAAATGACTCGAAATGACTCCCAGTGACTACAGGATTTACTGAAGGCTATGAATGTAAACAACTATGAACTATTAATACTTTCTTGTAAAAATGTATATAAACCCCCTGTACCCGTAGAATAATTATCTGACAATCTAATAACCGAATTCCTAATCCTTTCACCCTTCCGACCGACCAAAACACGACCTACGCCGAAGGATACCGAAACTCCTTCATACGAAATCACCCTACAAACGCACGCTGAAGGGTACCGAAACCCCTTCTCGTCCTACGAACAATCTACGAACTACGAACCACGACCTACGATTACGACCTACGAACCTACGAACTACGAACTACGAACTACGAGCCTACGCCAAAGGATACCAAAACTCCTTTATAACCTACGACTTACGAACATACGCCCGAGGGTACCGAAATCCCCTCACCCCTTACGATTCCAGTCGACAGATTACTAGATAATCCTTCGACACCTCCCTTCACCCACACACCTCTCACAAGTAGGTTTCTTAAAGAAATCCCACTACTTTCACTTCACACCCCCAATCCCAAACTTACGAGAAACACTCGGATAAAGTGATTCCTAGTGGACCTCGTGTATAACACAAAATACGCTTGACATCATTGGAGCCCACCGCGAGGGAATTTTACCAGTGAAAGTAAAGCACTCTATTAACACAACAAACAACTTAACCTCAACAAAAACTTACCCACCGACCCCATACAACATGTCTATACCACCAAACTCGGCCGAGACTATAGATGCAGGCACATCTGCCCCTGCGCCTGGAGTTTCGTTTGCACCCCCTCACGTTCAACCGAATATGCCTTTCCCATATTTGAACTCCACACAAGGAAGAGCATCACAAGCATCTTCATCCAATTATTCCTTCCCTACTTCACATTCCTCGTCTCTACTAACAGAGTATGAGACAGAGCAGCATGAAGGGCCGGAAGACTCAGACGATGAAGATTCCCCCTCCGCACCCTCATCACCAGAATTAGCACCAAGAAGAATGAGATCAGCTGTTCCAGTGTTTGGAGCTCCCCTCCGATCGGTATTGGATATGCCAATGAGGAATAGCAAAGACGCCCCCAAAACATTTAGAGGTCAGCATGCAGAAGTGGAGTATTTCATTCTGCATTACGACAAGCTACTTGTCAAATTTCGTGTTACTGATCCCTACGATCAATGCGAGTGCATTTTGGATTACTGCTCTGCTGATGTTCAGTCCTTTATACGGGCATCAACAAACTACCAACGGAAACATTGGCCCCGTTTACGCCGGGAAATATTAAAGTGCTACGACGCGGAACGAGCAGTTACGCGTTTCCGCCCGAGTGATATTACAACCTTCACGGTGAAAACACAAAATCGCCCTATTGTAAATCTGTCACAATGGAAGAAGTACTTCATTAAATATAAAACCATGGCTGGAACTCTGCTTCAACAAGGGCACATCACAAAAGTCAACCGGGATGTTTATTTCTGGGTAGGAATTCATCTTGATTTACGACGCATGCTGGAGTCCCGAATTTTGCAGCATAATGCAGGGCGTGATAGTCGACGGCCATACACCATGTCAGAAATCAATGAGGCAGGGGAGTGGTACTTCCGTCGGAATCGTGCTGAAACCATGGTTCTCAATGCTGCAGACTATAACATTGAGGATGATGGAGGATACAATGAGCCCACAACAGATGCAGGAGAGTCAGGAGAAAGCTCAGACGAGGATGACCTCGCATCCTTTCTACGGCGAAGAAGAGAGAAGAGCAAAATCAGGAAGGAGAAACAAAAGCGAAAGGCCTCCCCTTCCAAGCCACATGAGTATGTTGAAGATCGCACGAAGAAGTCGGTAGGGTCTCCAGAGGAAGTTGCTGGTCTCATCTGGCAATTGAATAAAATGTCACTAGATGACCCTGAATATTCACCCGCGTACTATGCAATCCTTGCCAAAGATCCAACAGGGAATGCAGCCAAATGCATTAAACCACCCTACATCATCACAATGGGAGAAAGTAGTAGTGGGAGAATGCGGCCACCACCCTTACGCGAATCACCGCCTGGTCCAACGAATAATAATCAACAGCGGAGCCCAACCACGTACCCGAATAATATCCCGCTGGGATCCGCCAACATAAACCCACGGCCTCCAAGTACAACCTGTTTTGGCTGCAATGCAGAGGGCCATCGAATGAATGAATGTCCCGAAATTCAAGCCCTACTGCAGAGCGGTACTATTATTCATGATCAAGCAGACGGACGTTTCAAAATGAGTAATGGAACCTATATTCCCCGCCTACGAGGAGAAGGAATTGTGCAAGCTGCAAAGCGGCAGGCAGCAGCACCTAGAGTTATGCTGGGATACATAGATGAGAACTCTTCTGAATTCTTACCAGGAAGCGCCAACCACATATTTTACCAGACTCAAGAAGGAGAAGCTCAAGAGTATTACGAAGATTCAGACAAAGATCCTGGAGAACAATCAAATGATTCAACTGACGAAATTGGAAACCATACAACCAACTCGGAGTTCGGTGGAGAGGTGTACCTGAGTTTCCCCAAAAGGAAGAGATCTTTCGAAGTTGGAGATCAGGTACATGCCGTCGAACGCACCATACCCAGTACCCGTATTGCGCGAAAACAGGTATTTGACGGAGTTCACATACCTAAACGTGACAAAGCGCGAGGCGGGAATGATGCATTGCCGCCACCCGAACACGCTCCGAGCTCCACGCAAATTCCAAAGCCCAAGGGCGGGAATATGCGAGATATCCTGGCCGATGTGCAGCCGTACGACGCGCGGCAACCGCGATTCGATGCAACCCAGGATGTTGAAATGACAGCGGAGTCTGTCCAGCAAAGTAAAGGCTCAGTTACAAAAGAAGGAAAGCGCCAGGAAAAACCCGGAGGCCTGGACTCATCGAACCGCCGCAAGTCGACAGAGCAGCGCCCCGATGACGCGCCCAAGGCCAAGCCTAAAGCATTGGGAAGACAGTCCGATATCCAGGCAAGTGTAAACATGCCTGGAATCATAGAGCGCCTCATGGATCTTCAGCTTCCGATGACTATTCGTGAAGCAATTGTGACCTCAAAAGAGATTCGCAATGGAATCCAGGATGTTATTCGCTTAAAGAACGTGAAAGCGGTACTATTAGGGCACCACTCACCGCTGGTAGCAAATTGGACATGGCCCCGCTCTGAAGGAATTTTAATTCGAATTGAATTGGAGATAGGAGGGCGGCGCGTTGTGGCAATTGTCGACACAGGCTCCCAATTGGATGTGGTGCGCGCCGACGTGGCGGCTTTGGTCTTGCATCGCCCCGTGGACATGACACGTGTAACTAACATGAAC